AGGCCGCGCTGAGGCGCTCCCGGCGCGCCGCTTCCCGCCCGCTGCCCTGAGGCCCTTCCGGGCCTGCCCCGGTACGGTTGCGCGCGTTTGGGCCCAGCCCTGCGGGGAGCCCTGGCTGCCCGGGCGGGCGCCCCTCGGCCTCGCTGGGAGCCTGGGCTCGCTGCGGGCGTGCGGTGCCTGCCAGGCCCGGCCCCGGGTGTTGAGTTTTGTTACGGGCGAGGTGTGGGTGGAGGTTTCCCTTAAAAATAAACCGTTCCCTCTGATCGCCATTCCAGGAGTTTGTCCCTTACCTGGCGTTTCCGTGGAGAAACACGCTGAGAGCTTTGGGCCTGGGCTCCCCAGCCACACCAGAGAGGCTGCCTAAACGTGCCTGTCCTCTCAGCAGTCTACAGACAGCTAGCTGGTAACGCTAGTGTTGGAGGGCCACTGTGTTACTTGAATGCATTTCAACAGTGGTGTGTACTGCTTTTAGGTGTGGGGCTTGACACGGTCGTGCAGCTTTCTGCCCACGAAGACAGAAGAAATTGGAGGGAAGAAGATATCTAAAAGTAAAGATGTGGCCCTTGTAGCCTTGGTTAGGTTTGAGGTAACTCTAGTACCTTCACAGGTGTTTGTCTGCATCTTTTTAAGCTTTGTTATGCTCAGGATGTCTGCGGTTACACAGCCTGCAGCCTCTCCAGGGATAAAGTGGGAAGAGTACCTAGCTTAAAAGAGAAAGCTGGGGAACCTGTTTGACTTAATGTTAAAAGTGTATCTGGGTAGCGAGCATGGCTGTGCGAAAGTGGGAGAAGTGACAGACTGAGAACATGCTTTGCATCCCAAGAGAGAGCTTGAAGCTTGGATTTCCATTTGTACTGATTGACTCTGGCCTGGGGTGTTTGAGGTGGAAGAAGAATGTAGTGTTTACTCTGAGTAGGTCTGGGTGAGTTGGATACACGTGAGCACATTCTCTGCTTCCAGCACGCTTGCAGGTTTTCACTGTTACACACCTGGGTTTAGTGCTTATGTGGGTGCTTTTTCACCCCCCTGATTTCTGGCACTCTGTTTAAGAGGAGAGGGATTATGCAGCAGGAGGCCCAAGATATGGTAGTGTGTACTTTTTTCTTCAGAATTGACATCCTTGTAAACATTCAGAAAAGGAGGAGAAGGAATACTGCCTTATTGTAGCACTTCAACTTCATAGCTCTGCACAGGGGAGATTACTAGGCAAAATCGTGTGCAATGATAGAGACAGGTTTATAAACCTGGAACTTAATACTGGATAAAGATTGCTCAGCTCAACTTGTTCGTTCCTATTTTTTGCAGAGCAGTCTGGTCTACAGTTAGCTGCTGGCCAGTTGGGTCAAGGGTTATACTGTGAGGAAACAGCATTCAGCCTTTTCCGCATGTGCCAGCCATGCATTTCCTGTAACCTTAGTTTAGCAAAGCTAACTGTATATTTGGTCACGTTTAGCAATAGAAAAGTTATTCAGGGTTATCTCGTGACTTCTTCGCGAGCATGGTGGACTACAGATCACCTGAGTGATCTTTAGCCTTCAGTGAAACTTAAAGAAAAAGAAAGGAAGCTTTGTTTTCCTTTAGGTTTTACTGGAGACTGTATGGAAACAACATGATTATCTCAATGTGCTGGCCTTTTCTTGTAATGTCCAAGTTCAGTCTTCAGTTTCTACTTTCTGTAATGAAACTATGACTGATGACATTGCTGTTGTAGTAATGTAGGTGGGGGCCGTCCTGGGATTTTTCTGTAGCTGCCTAGCTTGTTTCATGACCAATTCAACAACTGTCAAACTGCAATACGTCTGGGCCATTATAATTTTATGTTGGGAGTTAGTTTCATATTTCTAACATTTTTTTTTTCCCTTATTCTTTTTTTCTTATCTCTGCATCCTTATCCCTTTCCAACAGGTCTGGTAGACTCTTTTAGCAATGCTGGCCACTGGGGCAATGATGGTGAGGAAATTACTCAGCAATTACTACTTGCTTTGTTTTTCTAAAGTAATTTTTACTCAATTAGTTTCAGTTTTAAGAATCCCATCTCTTGTTTCGTAACTGCATGTTAATTGTAAATACAACCAATATTTTGTGATAGAAATACTAATTCTAAGTCTAAAGAAATAATTTAGTACTCATTTTGGAATGGCTTTAATGTAGTTTCTAGCATCATCATTGAATTGAAGTGGTGCATTTTTTTTTTCCTAGAAAAGAAAGCTCAATTAAATGATTTTGCTGGACTAGCTCATGCATTACCCAATACATCAACAAAGTACTACTTCATTTACACACCCACCCACCAGTGTCCTACTTGGACCTTCCTGACTTTTTTTAAATAACATATTTTCTGAAGTTCGATATGTAAAAATAACAGCAATCACATTTAGAAGTAGAAGATAGATAGCATGAGAAGAGCATCATATTTGCAGGAAATAAGGTAGAAAAATAAAGAATTCCTTTTTCATGAAAAAAGGTTACTAACTTTTAAGAACACATTCCTTAAAGAAAAGCAGTTTTAGCTGATAGAATTTGTAAGCAATTGTTTTCATGCTCTAACTTTGTCACTTAGACACTTAAGCATAGTTTTCTAGGCTATAATCAAAACTGCCATTGTGCACTCTATAGTGCAGAGTAATTGCAGGCAGCATACCTGAATGGATTGATTAGTGTACCTGAAGTTCAGTTTCATGCTGTGACACGTTTGAAATCATTTACTTAGCTCATATTTTGTCACGATGCCGCTATTTGTCAGGTTCTGTTTCTGAAAACCGTGTAGTTACCACGGCTCCATTTGCTAATAGGATCTTGTCCTTGTGGGAGCAGGAACTAGCTGGGCACCTGTAGTGTTGGATCACAATACAAAATTGTGCTTCAGGTGAAACTTGATTTTTTTTTTTTTTCCTCTCTTTCTTTTTTTTTTTTTCTTCTGAGCTACTCAGTTGCATTGCTCAGAACTCTTCTGTTTCAGGAATCAAACTGTAAATTTTTTGCATATCTTCTGTTTTTCCATCTCCTGGTCAAATAGTAGCTGTTGTCACTGTAGACAGCATGTTGGTAGTATAAACTCAGGTGCTTTTATTCCAAACCAAGAAGAATCAATTGAACATTCTGCATTCGTGAATTACAAAGTCTTGTCACTGAAATGTAGGTTTTAGATGAACATTTTAGTTCAAGTAGGTAAGTTACACAGTTACATGCTTTTCTAGTTATTAGACTACTTAAAACAACAAAAAAAGTAGTAGAAAGACCTTAATGTTTTGCTTTATAGGGAAGATTAATGTTTTGGATGTAACTGCTTGCAATCATAATTGGTACATCAAATGAAAATTCAGGTCTTGGCTATAAAAATAATTTCCAGGTTTTCATCACTTATTCTTCATTTCCAGAAAGCTTATGACAGCAATTCTGTATCATACAAATTTCCATCAGGGCATGGGAACATGCTTGGGCTTTGTTTCCTCAGCAAAAGGAAGAACTGTTTTGTTTAGGAGATTGACAGCTGCTTTTCTGAGTTCAGTGTTGGACAGTCTAAGGTTTACTTCTTAATTCTTTCTTTACTTAGTGTTCCGTGCAGAAGGTTGGCTGTTTTCTAATTCAATGTGTGAGGGAGTATAGGGAGGAGTCTCTGTTTATTTGTCCTCGTTATAGAACTGTCTTAAATTGATCTGTATTTTAAATCACTCTGTCTGACAGAGGTTCTTAGCAAATCTCTGCAGTGGCTGAAATAGTTAAGATTCGGAAAATGTATTTTAGATAAATGTTTGAATTCTTCAAAAAGATCAGACACTATTGAAATTTATGAAGTAAAGGTGAAAGATCCTTGGGGTTTCTTGATTTAAGAAGATATTAGTTAATAATGTAGCAGGTAGTGTGATGATAGGGGCTTTTTTACTCCCTTTCAGAAAATAGCCACTTGAGCTACTGAGTTGCCAAGCGCTTGGACTCTCTTCTACCCTAAAATACATTCCTTGCATAACCCTGGCTGTCTTTCAGAACGAGTTCTTCCAAACTTCAGGTTATTTTTGTGTTCAGATATTCTTCTGTGGGGAATAAGGCAGTGTTTGTTTAAAGCACTGAGTAGCTTGGGTTTTGCTACATGAGGTTACCAAATTGCATGAAAATTGCTGTCAGTACTTGAGAAACTGTGAAGCTGGTGTGTTTCTCATTTCCTTCTAGATGACTGATGTTTTCAGCTGTTTTTACTTAAAACAAATGTGGTGGTAAATATTTATTTACCCTGGTTCCTAATAGAAGCTACACTGTACATGTTGATGTTTGTTTTGGATAATGGAACCCAGTGATGCTTGTTCCCCTTGTGGTGTTTTTCCTGTTTTCACTTGTAGGTTTCTGTATGTCAGCACATCAGAGGAATTTTATTTTTATGCTGTTAATTAGAAATAGCAAGTTTGATTAGTATTTTAAGTTTACGGATGCTAGCTTAACTTACACTTTCAAAGTTTCGGCAAAGAAACATAATTGGTGAATAAGGAGGTTAAGGATTTCTGGCTGCCAGTACTCCTAGTTGTCATATTAATACTAAAGATGGAAAGGTGTATAATATACAAGTTTAGCAGTATAATAACAGGAAAACCCTAAAAATTCAGGATTAATGAGAGACATTCTTGCTGTTTCTGAAAGTTGTACTTGCTGAAGGCCTTAAATACCCTCAAAAGAGGGATACTGTAAACTTGATATCCAAACCTGCAATTTTATCTGTTGATGTGACAGTTATTCATGTGTTGTAACTCATGCTCTTGTGCTCACGTAACTCATGTACTCATGCTCTATGAAATTGCTGATCAATTGGGACCTGAATTAGCAGTAAGTGGTGAAGAGATTAGAAGGAGTTCTGTTTGCAGGTGGCTTGGGTTTTGTTTCTTTTGACAGAGTTTTAAGCTCAGTTTTCTTGCTGTTTCCATTGGCAGCCAGTATTTGCATGGAACTTTCATTTTTCACACAGGAAAGAGAAACAGCTGGTAAAATACATGAATGAATGTAGTCCCAAGATAACAGGGTCATGGGTTATCTTCGAGTCTTTGAGGCTGTGATTACAAATACTGTGAAAGGTGAATCTGAGACTAGCACCATGCAGCCTTGTCTTTTATTTGTATAAAATACACAATTATCTGAAGGAATAAAAAAAATCTTGCACTGACAGTTTCAATTCTAGGTCAGCTGACACTGGCATTGGGAATATTAATCTGCTTTGGAGCATTTATAGACAGTCCAGTGGCTGAAGCTGAGATCCTCATCCATGCTGGAGCTGTCTCTGCATTTACTTGCAGGGGAGTAAGGTAACAGTAAAAGATACTCAGCTACTCTGGGCAAAGGCAGTGATTCCTTAGCAGATACCCTCAAGTTACAATAATAAAAGAAGGTTTTCTTGTGCAGCCATCTCTGGAAATAGAACCTGGGATTTGAATGTCAAACAGGATTAGGTTTTTGAAGCATGTGCATATTTCTTTCCTTGCAGTGTCTCTACAAATAATACAGGTTTGTCTGGGGAAAATGGTTGTCAATACTGTAGCTGTGTTGAATTGCTAGCAGAGTTTAAAGCCCAAATAGTTATAGGTTAGTTTCTGTTAATCTGGTGAGGTGATGGACTTCTAAATACCCGTTAGGGATCAAATTAAATGTGGTTTGTTTGGTTGGTTTTTCTTTTTTGATGTGTTCTCTCTGGAATAAGCTGAAGTTTAGGAGAGCATTGCCATCTTCCTAGATTCTTCTGTCCAAGAGATGTCAAGTAGACAACTGTTCTTAGTTTCGCTGTTGTTATTTTAAGTTTGTCACAATCCTGCAGGTTAGATGATAACTATATGTCTCTATCTGTTTCACTGAGTGCAGTGTCTCTTGTGTCTTCTTGTACAGTTTAAGCTGCAGATTTAATTCTCTAACTTGACTGTGTTAATAGTAATGGGATTTCAATCTTTCTTTTTACCTATGTGTTTATTTTTGCGGATTTACCTACTGATCTTTGCTCTTCTGCTCTTCAAATTACTTGGGACCTACAGATGGCTTCTCGTGCCCTTGTATGATTGGGTGTTCCTGGTGAAAGTCAGCTTTGCAAGTTTTTCTTGTGCTCACTTAGCAAAGCTGAAAAAGGCTTATAGTAAACACTGATTAGAGGCAAATGTCAAATTTAGGATAGGTAAGATGAGCAACCAGTCTTCTAAACAACATTCATTAGAAACTGCTGTAAACTTTCAGACAGGAATGTCTCTGGTTTTGCCCTTTTTGACTTCTAGGTTATACTCTGTCAGCAGGAGTGTTACTCTACCAGGGGAAACTCATCTAATCCTGGAGAAAAAGTTACACATTAGTAACTGTTCTCACAAGTCACGGTTGTTGGGGCCTAGTACATGACTGGAGATGCTGAAGCCCAGAGTGGTTTTAGTTAATAGAAATTTCTTAAGTAGTTTACAGAATCCCACCTGTGTTATTGAGGAGAAGTCTACTAATTTTCTAACTCTTAAAAAATGGTTTTCCAAACTGTGCTACTTCCTAATATGTTTTAAGCCACAAACTAAAAAAACCTCCCCTTAATTTGAGCCAGTGAGGAGGGTAGCAAGAATGGTGGCGGCAGTCTGCTGACAGTTAATAGAATTCTTTTGCTAAGCTGGAGCGGGTGGCTGGCTGGCTGTTAATGGCCTGCCAGGACTTGTAGCACAAAGAAGTAGCTGTCTCTTTCACAGTATTTCTAGTAGTGTGCTAAATAAGCAAGGCCGGAAATATATTTCTAAGTACAGTACACGGTCATTGATGCTGGTGACAGAACAGCTGGCATGCTTCTTAGAAGTTGCTTATTTGTACAGGGTGCATAGTTATTGAATTGTCTCTCTTCTTTGTTTATCTACAAGCTATGTTTACTGACAGTTTCTCATAAACAGATTTTTGTCAAGCCTTGCAGTGTTTATCTTAAAGTTCAAGTGAACTAGATAAATCAGTGTTGTTCCTGAATTATGATTTCATTTAGTGGTTCAGTTCAAACTCGGTGGATCTTGTGACTGCTGAGCAATGTCTGGTTCCCCAACATTTGGGGACTTTTTCTTTTACTCCTTCAATGCCAGATGCTTCCTCTATTATATGGGGCTTCTTGAGGACTGGGAGAGTGAGGTATTACATTTTGACAGAAGTAGAAATTGGGGATTTTGCAGACTTGTTTGTGAGCAATACAGAACCACATAGCGCTATAAAACTTCTCTGCTTTCTTCATTTGTAAGTAGCAATTTGAGATCTTGAAGATAGGGGACATAGGAGAATTTTAATCCAAACTATCAATAGTTAGTGGAAAACATTCAAAATATTCTCAGGTTTAGTTGAGACATCTTAAACTGTTTAAAGAAAAAAAAAAATGACAACAAAAAACACCCAACAACACAACAGTAAGAAACTGCCAAGAGTGCTGATTATTTGAAACTACTTGAATGGCAGAATGTGGTGCAGGTAAAGGGTGCACAGTTCTTAGTGGTGATCTGCTGCTTCCTTATGATGCATGTAAAAATAGTGCTGGCTGCTGTTACATCAGCTGGTTACCACTGAACAGCACTTACTGTAGGCAGACTTAAAAAGAACAAGCATGGAGTAGCTGTATGTCTGCCCTCTTCCCTAGTAATCTAGTGATCCATTGCTGAATGAAGTATTTTTCCAGTGTGGCGTAGCTATGGAGCCAGTAGCATTAAAGACTGCAAATTCCAAGCCCTGTTGAAGAATGCAGGCCAAGTTTTTTCCTCCTCCTTTTTCCCTCCCGCCATAGTATTTATCTCATTAATATAAACCATAACACGTGCTTTCTCTTGCTATTACTGTTGCTTGAAAACAAGTCCTCATGTAACCTGTCCAAAATCAAATGCAGAAAGATCTTAAAGGAGTAGGCTCAAGGGGATCAGGAACAGAGGGGCTGCAAGAAAGGAAATAAACTCTAAAGCCAGCTTCCTACATTGCCTGCACAGGCACATTACCATACAGCAGTGTCTGCTGTTGAACTGCAGGAAACACAGTCACTTGCTGTCTGTCTTGAAGATGCTCAAGCTCTAAAGCTCCATGTCAAGTTCTTTGGAGGGCTGGCCTACCTGTGGTTCTCACGTGGTATTCATGTCATGAACCTTAACATGTTACAGGCTCCTACTGCTTCCAACACTGGCTAAAATAAATATTAGCATGTCTAGTCTGTCTCTTCCTGCAACTCTTATTTTAAAAAGTCTATTTGTAGCTTACCGTTAGAAGAGAAGCAAGTGAATTGCTCATTCAGAGGTGTTTCAAACATGCTACTCTAAAAGCTCTGTCAGTCTGTTACTGCATGTGTACAGCACACACTGGAAGACTGTCTTCCATCTTCCTGTGAGAACACTTTTTTCCAGACTGACAAAGAAACTTGATTTCTTTCCTGAATTAAAACTTGGAAGAGAGTAGACTTCAGTCTAATGTTGGAGTTAGGGGCGGGACAAGATGCCTTTAGGCTTAGTAATAGGATACCTCTAGGTCACTAGGTTTAAATGGAGCGTTAAGTGAACATCATCAAACATTATCCTACTTTGCAGCTGTTTGGTATTGTCAGTTCAATTCATACAAACGGATTAGTTTTTTAGGATGTAGTGCTGTGCTAACAACTACTATTATTTCTGGTATTCTCTGCAGTAGGAGAGAGTCAACAGAATAAAAGCTACCTTACTATGAAAGTTTATAGGAGATCTTGAGTCTTAGCTATTACTCCTAATTTGTACTGAAATCTCCTTTGCATTTTGGAAGACATTATTTTAAAAATACTATTGAACAAGTCTTACGGCTTTTTAAAGGTTTTGGGGGTGTTTGAGACTCTCATGTTACAACAAAATAACTGATAACTGTCTTGTCAGAATCAAACACTGGCCCTAGTTATTGCATCAGAGAAGTGAATGCTGGGCCCTTTGAATTTAGTACGAATTGTATTTTTCTGTTAGTGGATTTCAGACTGAGTTGTTAGTAGCATTAATTAATACCCTAATTTAAATCTGGATTTGCTTTTTTGTTTTCTTGGGGTGTTTTTTTGTTGGTTTTGTGTTTTTTTTTTTTTTAAAAGGGTGCCTATAGTGTCCTGGTCATCGTTTTAAGAAAGGTATTTGGCAAAGTTAAGAATACTGATCTCAGAAAAGGTTCAAGGGAAGGACTTTTTTTGTAATGGTAACGTCAAGGAATTCGGGGTTGTCTTTGGAATCAGAACTTGTGGATTTGATATTTTTCCCACAGGGGATGTATGTGATTGTAGTTAAACAGATAGGAATGTTGATATTAATAAATTGGTTATGAACAAGCACCAGAAGAATCCTCTGAGCAGAGCTGCTAAAAGGCAATATGTTCTTGGCTGTGTTCTGCTCTAGCAGAACGTGAGTAACTCCACTGTCAGCACAAGTCATACATGGCTTGCCTTGCTCACAGAAATGAGTGGCAGACTGAAGCAAAATCTGTAAGTCTTCACCTGGTTAGCCACTTAAAGCTCTTTTGTCTTCCCAGGTTCTACTCTACAGTGTCTAGTCTGTCTTGATGTAATGGGCAGAACTCGGGAAACACTCAGAATCGTTGCTTTCATGGTACAATGCCCAAAATACAAATGGAGTTTTGAAGATGCCTTCATAAGTATTTTAATTTTATTAAATTGCCACACCACAGTTTTTACCAGTTTTTACATGTAGCTCTGTGTGCATAGTGTGCAAATCTTTTCTACCCTTAAGGATTTTTGGCACCTTGTTTGTGGTCAGGAGTGCATTAAACATTCAAAAAAAGTTAAAATTTACCATGAGAAGTTAAACATTTCAGATACTGAGCTACTTTCCAGAACTGGTTTGAACAGCATGTACTGAAGACTGTGCACCTTCACTACTTTGGGAAACTTTATTTTTGTCTGTTTAAATTATCACTCCGAGTTGTGGGGTTAACAACCTGACTTAAGAGTTTGCTTGCCTTCAAGGGCCAATACCTGCAGCGTTGTCATGCATATTCCAGTTCTTTCTTCACCTTTTGCAATTTGACTGTATTGAGTATAATGTTAATTATATGTGAATGTATTCTTCAGTTTCTTTGCAGTTAAGAATGTGATGATCCTATTTCTTTCTGCAGATGTGGAGGTACTGTTGGTGCAATTCTGACATGTCCACTGGAAGTTGTGAAAACACGATTGCAGTCCTCCTCTGTGACTCTCTACATCTCTGAAGTCCATCTCAACACTGTGAATGGTGCTAGCGTCAATCGAGTAACTAGAGTTTCTCCTGGACCTCTCCATTGTTTGAAGTGAGTGTACATGTTACTAGGTGTTTGGTTCATTTTGGGGTGGGAGGAGGAGAGAGGAGGTTGGACAAATCCATATGAAAGATTCAGACTCTTATGTCTGTCATGATGCTCCCATGAGATAACTTTCCGTATTTTGCCTTTTTAACTATAATTGAGTTTCACATTCTACTTTTCCGAATGTCCTTCATGCTTGAGTTTGTACCTTGAATTAGCCGGAACATATATACCCTGTGCAATTCACAGCTCCAAACTACATCCCCAAAACTCACTGGGAGCACTGTAACACTTAAGTGCCAGACTGTATTTTCATCCTGAAAAAGTATTAGTATAAGACTTTTTAAAATGTTTTGTGTCCAAATCATAGATGTTGCTGAATATGGAGGCAAGAAGCCCTATGAAAAATAACTTGGCTTCTTAGTGTCTCTCAACTTTCACAACTCAATACCCTTCCAGCCTTTCATTATCTTCTGGTGGATGTGTGACTAATAAGACTTTTTTAGAGCTAGTAAGAGATAGGTATGGCCAGGTTTTGCAATGATATGGGAAATTTTGTGTGCATCGCGCCTCACTGAACAGGGACTGCCTTTCCTCTCCTTGCCACCAGTGCCTGTGATGATCAGTAGCAAGCAGCAAAGTTGTATGGCCACGGTTAAATTGCTAGTACAGACCATAGGCAGGGTTCACTTCACTCTGGGGGACTCAAGCTAGCCAGTTATGGGGCGGTATCTTCAGTAGTTGGAAATGAGGGGAGTGCTACTGCTTCTTGCATTAGAAGGAATTTGGTAAGACTCAGACCAGCTATCTTCTATCCCCAATTAATCAGTGAGAAGTAGTTTGTAGAGAGCCCCTTCTGGCAGTTGCAGTGTAGGATTTAGTCTTAATCTGGTTAGAGGGTAGGATTTGCTTAAATGGAGGTTATACCCAAATAATTCCGTGAATGGAAGATAGTTCTTATTGTGGAAGTTTTGATTCGGAGCCTTTTTACCTGTAAGAATCTGATGGGTGAACATGTTGGGAACAGGTATGTGGGAAGGAAGGGCTCAGATAGTGACAAGGAAGGAGAGCTCCATCCAAAGCGCTTGCCTTATTGGCTTTTCTTGATGGAAGTTGAGCCTTTCAGCTTCTTCCCTGAATGTTTAGTTATGAATTTGTCTTCTGTTTAGAAATGTATCTGGTTTTGGTTTGTTTGGTTTTGTTTGTTTTTTTGTTTTTGTTTTTTTTTTAAATCTGCTTCTTAGACATGTTGTTTTATATATGTGATACAAGAATGTGTATCTTCTGCTGCTTTTGTTCTTTGCTTAGATGTGTTTTCTTCCAGGTCAGTACCAAACAACTGAGATGCCAAGTAACTTTTCCGGGTTTCAAGTTCTTTAAATACAGTAAATATGAAAAAATTCCAAATGACGTGTCAGTGGACTGTGACAATAAAAATACATACGTGCAGGACATAATTATTCTTGGTTAAGTAACTAGGGCTGTTTAGTGGGGAGATCAAACTGGATCCCTCTGTCACTCTCGTGCCTTTTCTGTCACTTGATAATTTCTGACTTGTAGGTGTCAGGATTTGGTTGTCTCTTCTCATACCAAATTCAGTGCAGTGCTCCAAGGCTCATAATACTCAGTCTAAAAGCAGGGTGAATCAGGCAAATGATGTCAGGATTTCAGTTAACTGACTGCTGTGGAATCACTTCTGCATCTTCAGCATCAACAGAGGTGACTTCAAAGGCATCTCTGTCAGGAAACAAACTCAGAAGAACTGGTACAGGTGACTGCATTCTCTGGCAACAAAAGCAAATTCCCTTATTCTTAAATATCTGTGGTGTGTATCATATTGCGGATGCCTCTCATAATTAACCTTCCTGAGTTTAAACCTGAGGTCTTGATAATGGAAATCTGACCGACCTCTCAATGCAGGCTTCCCCATGTGACATAAGCAGGTCAGCTGAGGCCATATGGAGCATTTGTGCTGCTCTTCCAACCATGGATTTGCCATTTACTGCTTTCAATAAACAGTGCAGGCTCAGGGATCTGCTCTTTAATGCAAGAAGTTTGTCTTATTTTCAGTGTAGGCTCTGGAAGTCCTCCAGCTGGTGTCTGTGAATGCAGAAGAGCATCAGTAGCTACCACCACTATAAATCCTGCTGCAGCCTCTCTTTAACGTTTTGTTGCTCTGTCAAGTCTTGGGACACTGAAGACCCAGACGAAACAAATAGACCTGGTACACTTCACTCCTAAGTTTCTCTTAAGACACTGAGGCTCCTGCTGCTTTGTATACATGCATATGTTATATATGCATATATACATATGTGTAACACATGATGTTGTGGTGGTAGTGATTTTTAAGTGGACACGGATCATGTTAATTGGGTTCAGCTTTGCTGTAATCTGATACTGTGCCCATGCTGATCTTTGGAATATGGTAAGATTTTTTTTTTTAATAATGCCATCTGTAAGTGTTACAAATGTTTTCAGGATGACAGACATGTCTAAGTAATTTGTATTTCCAAAGTGCTTTTGACTATGTGTTCAACAGTCCAATTATTGCTGTGGAGCAATGCTACCCACATAGTGAAATCATATCTAATTGTTATGGACACGAAGCTAAGATGTTGCTGGACACATTATATGCCAGCATTCCTAAATAGTGATGGTAACTGTGCAGAACCACCATTTTATTTTTGCTTACTGAAAACAAATGTAAACATTCAGTTTGATTTAGCAGCAGAGCTGTGGTGAATCAGCTGCTGAAAATCTGAAGGGGATTCCAAACCTATTCTGTGCTATAGATGGCTTTCACCTGTTTGTTCTGATAGTAAATTCCAACCAGAATAGCCATTTATACAAGGGTAGTTTGCTTTATTGAGTAATTGACTTCTTGTTAACCTGCATGTCTCTTTGAAGAAGAAATATACAGGAGAACCATTTGTGTGTATTGGCCAGTGTTTCTAAATCAATAAGCACAGAGTTCTGTTTTATAATGTCTAGTGAAGTAGTTAATTCTTAACTTTAAATCTGGTTCTAAAGCAATTGCTAGAGCAATTTGCAGTGATGGGATGCAGATAGTCCTTATTTCTCCTGTGTCCTACCATACTTTTTAAGATACCGTATCTGATTAGCATCTAGATTGTTGTACAGATTGATTTCACTAAAACTGAATATTAATGGATATTCTCTTACTGTGCCAGTGTACCTTGCTGCATAATGGTTTTCAGCTCTTTCTGAAAACCACAGTTACATAGGATAGGTATTCCAAACACTTAAGTACTAGTAATGTCGTTCGAGGTCCTGATTCACTGCTTGTATCCCTCTGTTTCTCTGTAAATCCCACAAAGATGGAAGGTGATACCCCCCTGCCATCTAAGCAGTCTTTCCAGAGCTGTGTTTATAATGAACCTGGTACTATGAGATGTTAGGGCTATACTGTGGCTGTGACTCTTTGTATGAGTTACACTCCTTTTTCAGTTAATCTCAAAGTTAAGTGAGTTACCTTGCATGAGGAGGTAAGGATTGTGTTTTCTGGAATGAGCCGAAAAGGGAAAACCAGTGGCTCCACAGCCCGGCAGCCGTGCTTGGGTAGGAGCACACAGGCAGCAGTTCAGAACTGATAGGAGGGAATCCCTGCCAGCCTCAAGGAAGGGTCACTTCTCACATCAGAGGTTTCCATTTTCTTTTACTGTAGTCAAAATAATCACCGTATCTTACAAAAGGAATAAAGCTAAGAATGGGTTCATAGCTGAATGCTTAGTGGATTTAAATCATTTATGGGGATTGGGAAGGCAGGACTTTGTATCTGAAAGGCTGCTTTCCTCTAACTTGTAACAATACACTGAGTTACATGTCAGAAGTCTTGTACAATCAAACCAGGATAGCACATGCAAGCCATGTTGAGGTTTCTGTCTTTTTGAGAAGAGTAGATAATAGATTGCAGAAGATGTCCCTGGCTGAGCATGATAAGCAGTAGAGCTGACATCTTCCTGAGCTGCTCTCAGAAGGCATATGACCTGCTGTAACTGAACGTTCATAAGTCTCTCTCCTCCCCTCTTCTCCTTTCTTGCCCTTCACCCCCTGTCCCTCCCACCCAAAAAAGTTCCCAAACATTGGGAGCTAAAGGGTGATGAAAGGAATGAAATGTAGAATAGAATCAAATATTTTTGTCTCCCAAACAATCTACAACCTACAGGAATGTGAAGATTTCCATGCTTAGTATTTTCTCCCTGATAAAAGGACGCTTTCTTTAACTTCCTAATGCCGGATAGCTCCATGTATGTATGTGTTCCTGTCTTTGAGGTAAGTTTGTATTGGCATCATATGGCTTTACTTCTGCATTTAGTTCCTGGATTTCTATGGCATGTCAAGCAATAATGGAATTTTATTTTATGCTGATTCTAGGAAATGACTAACTTTTGTGGTCAGCATTGCATCATCAGTTATTATGAAAGTTTTACGCAGTGTAAAGCTTAAAATGGTGTAGTTATGGTGGTCAGTATTTTCCTTAATTTTGATGTGAATGTTACAGTAGTGTCACTTTTTTGTTTTCTAGGATGATCTTGCAAAAGGAAGGTCCTCGTTCTCTGTTTAGAGGGCTGGGTCCTAATTTAGTAGGCGTTGCTCCTTCCAGGTAAATACAAACGTGTACAGTAAGTGAAATAATTTTGATGAAATTGAGGTTGCTGTGTGTTATTTAAGGGATTTAAGGTTGGTTTGTTTGAAGCAAGTTTTGCATCTGCAGTAAATACTTAATAGCAAATAACCTTTGGTTCCTGGAGTAATTTTGTTGCCCGAGGAACTGAGCCACTCATGTACTCCGCAGCTCCAGTCCTGCACCAACTGTCTCTGCATTTGCTATCCTATATGCTACTATAATAGTATTTACAATAGTGTACTATCGTACTATCCCTTATGCAGAGTTTTGTCCAGTTAAGAAGCAAAACGCTGAAGGAGTTGCACATGTAAACAAGAAGTTTGTCCCTTTGAAAATACAAAGGTAGATTTAGCTTTCAGTTAATCCTTCATCTTCAGAAGCAATTATGTGACTGTAGCCTGAAAACACTGGGTCTTTCATCCTGAATTTTGGTGAAGCACAGGCTACTGTCCCCCTTCCTGCAGCAGGAAGCCTGTTCTGAAACTTTAAAAAAGGGCAAGACGGGGTAGGATGACACACTTAACAGCTGTCCCAGAGGAAGCAGATCCAGCAGTGGGCTGGACTCCAAAGGGTACTGGGGCAGTGTCAGATAGTGCAGTGAACAAGGATGTAAATCTGATCTAATTGGCAGCAATATTGCTGCTGTCGATTGCTCTGCATCAGCACAAATACTCTAGCTACTCGGCTGGTGCTGGCGGTCACAGCAAGGTGCTGATTATGCCATTTTTTTAAGAAATTAGGAGTACCTGAGGTATTTTCTGATCACTAACTGAGCATCGCTGTTTGGAGAAGCTGAAGTAATTCCAGTAGCTTTCTTTGTTCTTGACACCTGTGGGGTATCAGCACTTTCCAATCTAAAGAGCCTGTACTTTTGTTTGATAGTCCAGTCTGGTCTGAATGTTCAACAATGATACTACTTTTTTAACAGCAATTTTTATACAACAGTGGATTCCATTTTATAAGTGACTATCCACAATGAAAAATATCCTCAATTGCAAAAAGCTATTGCTTTTCAGTAAATTTTATGTTAAACTTCTAATTCCCTTCCCTTCTTCCCCCAGGCAAAATACTTAGCTTGTCCATCCATGTGTCCCCCCCCCCCCTTGCTAAAAATATCAACTTGATATAATGTGTGAAGTCTTACAAATAAGCACATCCTCATTCCCCTCCAGCTGACTCGGTCTTCATCCAGTACTTCATTTCAATTAAGCATTAGCTAAGTGGGTTTAACAGCAGCTCTTTGTTTAAATAAGCTGTAGGGAAGCATGTTTCATAACACATCCAGTATACTTAACTGAGTTCAGATTCCATTTTAGAAATTACACCCATGAAGCAAGCACTTTATCTTTTCTATAATAAAGAAAAACATGTTTGCACAGCTAATGAGGTTAATGTTCCATTCATGAAAACTTGCATGTTTATTTTTTCTCTCATAAAGGGGTGTCTAATTTTAAAAATCTGAGTTACAACCTTAAATGTTAGTTTTAGATGTGCTTAAAATAAGTTATTTAGCTTTAATGAGTGAAAACTAATGAGTGAAAGGCATTTTTCATAATATATTGCATTGGCATTCTGACTTTTATGTCTAGCTTTGTTTTGATACCAGCTCAGACTTGAACGTAGTACAGGTTTACAAATTTTTTTGTAGTGTATTCAGAGAAAAAAAATCTGTCTATTCTAGATACAGAATTAAAGAAACAAAATGCAGATCCCAACTTCACAGCTGTTCTAACATTTAAAATATAAATATTTATAGCTACAAGTTATAAAGTATAACCACAAGTTATCAATATTTACATCTTAAATGCTAGAATGATATTATAAATATTCAGTGTGCTGTTTGATTTTAAAAAAACCTGCTACATACTTGCTAGTTCTCTTGAAATTGTTATGCTATTGAAATGAGTTTAGGTCCATTAGAACAAATTTGATCTGTTATTAAAGAGATGCAGAATACTGTAACTTCTGTTCTCAGTTCAGCAGTGTTTTGCTTCCCTGGCTAAACTTCCTAGTGTCACAAAAATCACTGCTATATTTCTAATTATCTATCCTTCCCCTCGCTAATTGTTAATTGCAGCTGTTGTGGAAGAAGAAGTTGTAGAGTATGATAATTTTTTTTTCCTTTTTCATTCCTAGAATAGTCCTACTACTTTGTAAGAGTTATTCCTTGAATAGTTTTTTACTGAGGAAGTGACTTGAACCAAGTTCATCTTGAGTTAGTGAAGTTAATGGCACTGCTCTTAAGGATATTGACACCTAAAACGTAACATAACTTTGATTTTGTTCTAATTTTAGAGCGATATATTTTGCTGCTTACTCAAACTGCAAGGAAAAGCTGAACAATATTTTCAATCCAGATTCTACCCAGGTACACATGATTTCAGCTGGTGTGGCAGGTAAGGATATGTAACTTTTTAGCTTCATTCTAGAATCATATCTACAAATGAGAGGTGGCAATAAATGTGGAAAAAACCCAAAACAAAACAGAAAATGTTCAGTGATTGAATGATCTCTTTTTGTAGTGGTTACCTTCTTTGGCCTCTCATTAAACAAGCTATCTGGAGAATATATGTATGAAACTTTGCACTTAGTATTAATGAAGATCTTTAACTGTGTGTGTGAATAGTTTTTTCTAAGAAAACATGCATGCTTGCTTTTATAAATCTGTGAAATGTAAAATGAAAACTTTCAAAACAGTAACTTTTCGCTCTGCAAGCTATAAACAACCTTGTTTGCACTGAACTCTGGTTTAATGCTTCTTAATCTGTTTTTTTACCATCACTTTCCGTTACAGCTTTGTATATCTGACTTATTTTTGTCTTTCTGAAATATGCCTGCAGATACTTGTATAAATTATATGTAACACTCTCTCCTCCTTTGTTCAAATACCAGTCTCTATGAAGTTTGCTCTATCACTAAAGTGACATAGAAGAGCAGATTGTCATAGTTTTCATATGTTATCATCTCTGGAAATAAGTTCCTATTTTATATCTGCAAAGCAACTTTGGTATATTTTAGCAGCTACCAATATTTGATGTTTGATTTGTATGTTCTGTGCTTTGGGATCCTTAACAAGGGGAGTTAAAGGCAACTGAGCTGAATTATCGTCATGGACCTGTGCTGGGGAAATCAAAACTTGGGTGGGCAACACTTTACCTATTGTTGCCTGTGTCTTTCCTACACAAAAATAAATTTTCTAAAGTTTTTTTTCCTTTATAGACCATAGACACTTCACAGATGAATTCTGACAATTTTATGGTAGCCTGTCGAAATTTCTAATTCCTGTCAAATTTTACAAGCAGTGTATCTAATGTGGTAATAGCAATCTGGAATGGACTGCCAAAGGTGATGTCAGAATAATGAATAGGATTAGTTTTCTATTTAATACTTGCTAATAATCTGATAGAAAGAAATTATTATATAGCACTGAAAATTTAAGTGACATGAGCTTTGTACTTAACACACTAATGCTCATCTCTAGCACATGGGAAATGCGATGGCAGTTCTTAGTCTTCTTAGAGATGTAAGGAGAGCCATTTATGTCTTAAATGGGCAAAATAAGGTGCTCAGGTGATGCAGTATTTTTTTATCACCTGGAAGTGTGTGCTTTGTAGGTGAACCGCATGGGGAATGGGATGGAAGGGGGACTTCATGAAAAGTTCATCCTAATCAGTTAATTGCTCCAACAAAAATGAATTGTCTTCAGCCCTTTGTCAAGGGGATAAAACATGTCTTTAAATTGGGGGTGGAGGGGTGGAGAGCATGGGTAATAGAAACAAGTCTATCCTCAAGTGAAGACAACTTGTGTAACTCATGCAGTGCTGCAAATGAAGGTTCCGAGTGTTCCTTATCTTTGGAAGTTACTGCCCTCATTCTGTAATGAAAAGAACATTTATGCAGGTGTGCTGTAGTGACTTTTCCCAAGTGCTTGCAGACACAGACTGTAGTTTGTCAAGGAGTTCTGTATCTGCTTATTAACTTGCTTCCTTTCCAGAAGGTTAGTATTATTTGTACTTACGACTGCAGGAGACTGGGGTGAATGTATTTGAGCCTTAACTGCTGTTTGCCTTTTTTGTATTTGTATACAAGTTTTAATATTGAACAACTTTTGTGGCTGTTATCTTTCTCACACTTACCTAGTTCTGCAGTTGTATTTCTAAACCATATAGCCCATGAAGCTGAATGCCCAGTGCAGATTGACACTACAGGTCACAACTTTCTTTCTCTTGAAATGTCTTGGCACTGTATACTACAGACATTCTCTGGAAGACCTTTAAAAGAAGGCTCTTCGACAAACAATTTCTCGATACTCAGTACTTGGCAGTATTCTGATTTATATGAAAAGGACTGTAGTTAAAATGAACAGTGCTTTCTTGGGAACATGCTAACCTTGTTTTTGTAATTCTAATATATTTCAGAAAATGCACTTAAACCAGCTATTAACAGTTTTACCTGCAAGGTTTGTATTGCTATATGATGCAAATCAACTTAAGGAGAATGGCAAAATAACAGGCACAAGATCAAATGTGAACTCTTAATTGGTTGACTTAAACAGGTTAACACAGAAGATCACCGTAATATTTGCTTTGGAACTTAAGATTTCAAAAATGGCAAGGTGGATAAACACTTCCAGTAATTAGCAAAAAATAATCAGTATTGGTTTTTTCTTTTGCAGCTGCCATTGGTTTCAGTAAGGAATTGAGTAACTCAGTCTTAAATGAGGGGGGGGATTGTTTGGATATGACCTTTCTGTTACATAAAGGCTTCTAATACCTAATGAGCATGAAGTGGTGTTTGCACTTACAAAGCTTTTCCTGTAGGTTGCAAAATACAATAATGATGCAAAAATACAATTTAAAAAAAAAAAAACCTGTAACTTACTGTTCAATGAAAGTACTGTAAGTACTGAACTCTAGTCAACTTTAAATACTGTTTGCTTGTATCCTATGTTAATACGTAAGTATGTCAGGCTAGACTGATGTCATTGTTAAATAAGGATTATTTTATGCACATGACATTTTTGGGAGTGAGAAGCTGAGATATGGTATTTTAAGCATTTTTGATTTTAGGCCTGATTCTTCCTTCTCAAGATAAAACATTTTTTTTTATTTTATTAAGATTCTTTTAGTAAGTTTGTTTTATCCCAAGGAGGATGAATTATGCTACATATTAGTAACTGATGCCTTATGCAATTAGAAATTAATGTTTTTCCCTTGCTGTGTGCTAGCTTCCAGCATATAATTCACGTCACCTTCATACCTAAAATATCGGTGTATTGACATGAAGAAGTACTCGGCAGTCTTTTTTGCTTACTACTTGACATACCACATGGTTCCCTTTTTGCAAACTTGGACGGTGAATATATTTGAAGCATACTACAAGAATGAGAGCATTTGCTTGTGTGAAGATAGTTTATCTCTGTACATTTCAAAGTTAGGCTAAATTCTCAGATTCACTATAAACTGTGCCTTCTCATTGCACTTACTCAACCTCTTTTGCCACAGAGAATAAAAACTGTAGAGAACTGAATGAGATACCTGATTTCTATATGGCTTCCTGATTTGCCTTTTTAATGATTCATAGCCTCATTCAGCCAACACGGTTGCAAATCTGCTGCAAAACTACTTTGCCTTGTATGCTGTTGCTGTTTTTTCTAGAACTCTACTGGCAAACCAACCCAAATGTAGAGATTTTTTTTTAATTAAAAAAAAATTGGGACCACTTTTACTTACAGAGATACCATACTTCTGTAACTTTTTAGTAGTATGTACACAGTTACTTACTACCAAATAAAATGCATATTTAGTTCATTGATTACTGATACTAGAAAGTTTGATTTCATAAGGCATCTATCTTGCTTTTTCAGTCCTAAGGCAAGGCTAGCTTTTTTGAATGATATTTGGGAGGGAGTGGGGAAGGAGGAGGGTTCACTTGTGAATTTGATACATAGGTAAGTATTTGAAGATATAAAATTGAACTGCTGCAAATGAGCAGAAGTTTCAGTACTCAGTGCATTTTACACAACTATTTTAATATCTGTGGCCTGTTCTGATTATTTTTCTTTCTTTTTTTCCTAAACTTTTACCTGAAAACAGTTAGATCTCACAATAACTAATTCACAAATCCTTCCAATGGGATTCAATTTGTACACATGTGTCTGATGAGGTCACTGCTTGTTGTTATGATACAGAAAAGCCTGTGTCTATTTTAGGCATTTACTGTACATTTCTCCCGTGAAAAGAGTGAGATCGTGTCATCTCATGCTCCCCATCCGCAGGTCACTTCCTGCAGAAATATGGACTAACTTAAACCTCGTGAGTACTGAACTGAGCGTCTCTTGCAGCCTCTAGTGTAAGAACCACACATTGGGTTTGTAATATCTATTACATAAACAAAATAAGGGGAATTCACTTTCATTATCTTGAACTCAGATGATGTGCATTGTGCAAAGACATCACTTCTCCTTAACTCTGTTAAGAGTTATTTTTTTTTCTGTGCAGTTCAGGGAAAGGTGGAAAATACCTTTCACTGATAGCTGCTACTTTACTTAGCTCTGGCTAATTGAAAGTCCCTACTGGGTTAAACAAGGCCTTTTGTTTTTTTTCAGTGTCCCAGAGCTGCCTTTAAAATGCTGCAGCTGATACTCTGTGTTGTCACATTATTTCAAGGACCTCTTTTCTTTTTCCTTTTTAATATGTATATGATCTCCTTTCTGTCTCTTTCTGTTTTCTCTCTCGGTTTATTTTTATTTTACTACTTTGGATTTTTAATTCAGCATTCCATATTCACATGCGTCTGTATCAATTACATTGGCTTATAGATTAAAAAAAACCCTAACCTTTGAAATATGATGCATAATAGGAATACCTGGGATCTTACCTGTCAGTAGCTGGTATAGCTGAAAAAGTAGACTGAGATAATTCTTTCCATCTGAAACTGGGATACAATTTCATAGAAGAAAATAAAACATAGAAAAGTACAGGAATTTCTGCTATTGCCAAATTGATCTACACTTCTAATGAATCTGGAGTCTTCCTTGAGGATACAACACATTGATAAGCATTGTAAAGCATTGTAACGTTCACTGAGACTTCTAGAAAGAAAAAAAAGGAAACAATTGATAGAGCTTCATAGTAGTTGTTGAAAGCCCCCCACATTTTTTTTTTTAACAAGTACTTTTGTTACAGTTTTTCTCTATTTAAAAAGAAAAGCTTATCTTATCAAAGATCCCAAATGGTATGTTTCATGTTTTGGAGTGCTTTCCTTGGCGTCAGCATCACTCAACTCTTAATTTATTTTTCTTCTTCCACTAACTGTATTTACTACATTACCTGTAAGAATTGAGCTGTAGTTGTTTCATCTTGAAACCTGAGTTATTGAAGGCTCTTTGATTTGAAAGCTTTGGTTCGAACTGTCACGCAATTTAGGCTTATGACAGCCCTAGGGGGAAAAAAATTGGCTATGCTGCTTAAGCATCCAATCCTACTGTTAGGGATGCTATGCTTAAATAATGTTTAGAGCAACCCCAGGAGTGCAAGTTCGGACAGAATAGGCTGCGTCCTGTGCTAACCACCCTGCACTGGCAGTTTCCAATATGCTCTTCCCATCCTGCCTAGAAGCATCAGGCTGCTGCTGTGGGTGAATACAGTCACTCCTGCCACTCACACGCTGCCTCTGATCTCACCTACGTGTTTCCTGTTCCAGATTTAGGATGTACAGAGACTGGTTTTTTGGGTTGAATAGGAAGGAGAAAGGGCTGAGCAGATAATGCTGTAACATACAGTCTAGCAGTAACAAAATTCCAAAGTATGCAATTTAAATAGGAATGCAAGAGATTTTTTTGGTCTTGTTCACTTGTAATTAAGAACTAGGAGAGACTTAAGAACTAATTTTGTTTGTTAGAGAGAAGTCTTTCCTGGAAAATGTGTTGGTAGGGGAAGTTAGTAATTTTTCCCCACCTTATTTCAAAGCCTTTGTTGCAGTCCTGTGCATTCCTAGAGCCCTTCACTGCACTATAGATATGGAAAGCTGCTGATTTGAAGTAAAAGAAAATTAAAGCTTTCTTAGTGCTAATATAAAGAAATAAAAAAATGCAAGAACAATGTTTCCTTTCAGTTTAGTTCAACCCAGGGTCAAGTGCTGTTGGAATCAGTGGAGTTTCTATGGCATTAAGTGACAGGTCAGAAGGGCTCTGGCTAGTTGAACTACAGAACCTTTTTTGCAGATGTGGTATGTTTTAAAAACATCCCATGCCTTGTTATGAGTTATGGCAAAGTAGTTCTCTGATGCTTTGAGTTTTTACATATTTACCTACACGAAATGCAGATGTAAAACACTTTTAGCCTGTTTCGCTTGATTCACTTGATTTCACTGCATCATATGGAGGGCTATATATGTACCTAGACATAGAAAAAAAAATGAGTAGTGTATCATGAAAAAGCAACCACCCCAGACCTATATTATCTATCACAGGAAGTTATTTCAGAGGTTTGAGTCAGTTTAAAAATCTATTTAATCAAAAGATTAAACTGAAATCTCTAATGTGGTTTTGCTGTTTTGGCACAGAAATATAGCTAAATCTTAGTAGCTGCTAAACCTTGTAGTTTGTCCTTAGAACTGTAACTGAAAATCATAATGACCTATTTAAGATTTGGGGGTGGGGATAGAACAAACCTTAAAACAGTTAAGATCCCCTGGCATTTCTCTGAGTATTGCAGTCATTTGTGTGCAATGTAAACCTAGATTGTGATTGAACAGAAGTAACATGTATGCAAGCAGTTCTGCTAAATATATATATGTAAGCTGTTAATGATCTCCATAAACAAGCTTATCAATAGCCTGTTCGTTGTATAAGTATTGTGCACCAGATATGCACTGAACAAGGTAACTCTGTCGCTTTCCCACAACGCCAGTCCATTCCCTTGCAGGAGGGCAGCATGTCTTTGTAGTGATATACAAGTGATGTGTGTCACTTAGAAAGCAAGTGTCTAAATTTATCATCTCTTGCCTGGCCATGTTCCAGCTCTTCCCTTTTCCTCTTTTCTCCTGCAGACATGACACCTCATTAATGGTGCATGTGTGGTATTACAACTCTAGATGGTTTTTTATTTTACTTTTTTTTTTCAGAGCTGCCTTTCACTCTGCTCTTTTTCTCTCCACAGTTGTGCAGAAGTAAGAGTGATTCTTACTTCTTTTCTTTATTTTTTTTTAATTTGTTTCCTTTTCTCTTTCTTCCTTTTCTTTTTCCTTAGTGGACTGAAAATCGAAGCTTTAACCCTTAGCCCTTATGCAAGCCCGAGTAGTTGCTGTCTGTCTGGATAGTTAGAAGTCATACTCTTTACTTTAACAATTTAAACACTCATATGCTTGTAAAAGTATTCCTAGACCAACCAACAATCTCTGCTTTGAATACTAAATAAAACATTAGCACTCAAATTTAACTGCTCTTTATAGTTCAGTATTAAAAGGTCTCTTAACTTACAGTAATACATGCCTTTTAACTGCACCAAAAGTAGTATTTATTCAGTCTGCATGCTTTTAAACTCGGATTGTATTTCAGGTAGCAAATTAAATTGACACAATGTTTTATACCATCTCAAATTGTTATAGCTGTATCTGCAATGCATTCTTATTGACATGTTTGCCAAATTGGCTAATATTAGTCTAGCTAGCTTTGCTGTTCTATGGTGTCAAAACAGGGTTGGTATGATTAGGTAAGCAGAGAAATGTACACAATTGGGCTTATTTTATAGGGGGCGTCTTTTGTTAAGAATCAAACTTACTCAATGTTAATGTAAAATTAAAAAATAAGCTAAATGTTTATTGGCTGTATGGATTCATAAAATATCAGTAAAGGGCTACAATGGGTACTTTCTAAAAATCAGTATAGTCCGAGTTTTTGCATCCAGTGTACCTTACTTTGTGCGTTTCGAACTTAGATGCAGTTGCTCTTGTGATACTATCACATCTAACTGTTCTTTTTAAATATTTTAGGTTTTACTGCGATCACAACAACTAATCCCATTTGGCTAGTAAAGACACGATTACAGCTTGATGCAAGGTATAGTGACAATGGGAAATCTTACTGCTGTGATAAGATTTCGTTTAAATGTTGTGAATCTGTTCTGCATCCCAAAATTGAACGATTCTTTAAATATCCAACATTTTGAATTAGAAAGTTGATGCTGATCTATCTACAAGTTACACTATCATTTTTCCCTATTTTAATATCTGTGTTCTGAGGCACACTTGAGGCCCTGTAGTAGACTGGCCTGCAGATTTGGAATGAATTACAAGGTTAACAGTCTCATTAAAATAATATTCTGCCAACTATATGCTTACATTTTCCTTCAGTAATACATTCTCTTTATTTTTAGCTGTTGAGCTAAACATTCCTGAAATAAGCATTTAAGTATTTTAGTAAAAGTTTAGAAAAATGCCTGAAATATCCTGGTTTCATTTTTTTATATGCAATGAGCCCTAGCCTATAAAAAGGGGAAGACTGCTTTCATGTATGGAAACACAGGAATTGTCCCAGTGCAGGATAGTCAATAGAAGTTGTTTGGACTTAATACAGAATCAATTACAGAAACTGTTTATTATTACAAAACTTGTAATGAAGTAGAATTTTATGCAAACAGGGAGGAAGAAAGACCTTTGTATTCCCATCTATTTAGAACTGTAGGGAGAGACTGATATGATGCAAGTGTCTCAGTGCAACTCTTGTTCATTTTATAGACTTTCTTACTGAAAACTTAGCATGCAATATAAAATTCTTTCTTCAGCCATCCTAAACACATTAATGAGCCACATATTCCTATTTTGGAGATCTGTTGGACTTTGTGTAGTAGAGTGCATATTAGCATTTTTCCTCTTAGCAGGCATATCGTCAGCTGCAAGGTGACCATAGTAAATATATCCCAGAATTAGTTTTACTGTGAAATTTTTTTGTAATGCCATTGTATGATTGAGGTGACAATTCCATGACTAATTCCAAGGGGTTTTTGGTGCTATGTGCAACCTGATGGCATCTTGTGCCTCTGCTTGTTTTTTACTGATCAAATTGCTTAAACTATAGGGCTTTAAGGAAATTAGGGAAAATTATGGATTTCTTGTGCACATTATTTCTGTACATTATATCAAGCACATTGTTCATGTGGGAGACCCAGAGAAGGATCTTCGGACTTTGTGTCGGACACTGCAATTACATGGGCTGGTCTAGCACATACTGCATTATCAGCTCTTCTAATTCTGTTGTTATTAGAGGCATAAAAACACTTGGCCTGTGGGATTATCCTGGCCTGATCTTGTTTCTATTGAAGGTCTTTTGTTTCTGTTGAAGTTCTTCTCAAAAATCCTTCTGATCCCAATAAGAGTTGGAGAAGGCATGTGTTTTGTTTCCAAAGTGAAATTGCTTTGGCCTTCAAGACAATGTTGTGCATCTTTCACATCAGAAGAACAAACTCTTACAGCAGTCTGTGTCAGTGCACCTGGGGACTGGGGTGCCCCTGGAGCTGCAGCTGTAGGTCCAGCTGCTCTTCTCACCAGTTGTTCTTTGACTCTTTCTTTTCTCTTGCCTGTCAGCAAATCAGTGCCAGTTCCCCAGTTCTCTGAAGCATCTGCCACCTAGCTTACACAAGATCTGATTCGCAGCTGTGTGCCCACTCCTCTTAATTGTGCTTGGTATCTTGTTTCATTGCTGTCTGATATTGCAGTTTCAAACCGTCAGGACTTAAATTCTGCCATCTAGTGATGCCTCATGTTGCTTCCATAATAGCTGCTGCCTCTGTCTGTCTTGCTTTGACAGTATCCATACGAGTTACTGTAACTTTTTACAAGGTCATTTGCTGTTTTATTCTGTGACTTGCTCACTCAGGAGACCTCTGCTGGCAGAATCCATATGCTTCAAGTGCCTGCGCTCGCTGCTGCAATGAAGGATATTTTATGCAGTGTTGTAATGGTTTTGCATAGCTGTGTACAGTATGCTAAGTATTTCAATATGCACAGCTCAATTCAGTAAGCAAGCTAAAAATGGGAATAAAATTTTTATTTACCAAATACTACTTGATACAGTCATGTTTAATGAGCATTTTCCTTGACATCAGCAGTGGCTTAGTTGAATCTAATAATAGCTACCTGTGTTGTATTGGTTGGTATGCTCCCTTTGGATATGCTAGTTGTTTGCCGATAGCTGTGATGCTGTGAGGCCTGCCGTTTGAACTCTTAGCCACTGTAATTACCATGCTATGGAGCTGTTTATTTGAGGCAAAATTTAGGGAAAATCCACTCTCATTGTGCAGAAGAAAATGGTCATTATTTTTTTCATGACTCACTGACATTGGCAGTTCACTTGGGAGTCTGTTTTCAAGCAATTTAGTCCTTTATTCCATAAGACTTGGGGAGGCCTAGAGCTGTTCAACTTGTCTACGTGATACTTTTTCTTTTAAGTCACCACACGAAGTTTGGCTTGGGTTCAGTGTAATGCTGTGTCTGTGTTTAGTGCTGAAGGCCTTTGAGACTTTCACTTTAAGTTCTGTGTGTTCTTAAATGTGTCTGAATTGGAGCCCCTGAGCATCAGTGTGAGATGTTTCCTAAGTCCTCATGTCACTCAAGCAAAACTGTTTAATTGTTTTCCAGTCTCAAGTTGCACCAGCTTGACATCTGTCTTGTTCTCTCCTTTTTAGGAATCGTGGAGAAAAGCGAATGAGTGCTTTTGAATGTGTCCAAAAAGTTTATCGATCAGATGGTATTAAAGGCTTTTACAGAGGAATGTCAGCATCCTACGCAGGCATATCTGAGACTGTTATTCATTTTGTTATTTATGAGAGCATTAAGAGAAAACTACTGGAGTATAAGACTGCTTCTGCTATGGACAATGAGGATGAATCAGCAAAAGAAGCTTCGGACTTTGTTGGCATGATGATGGCTGCTGCCACTTCCAAAACTTGTGCAACATCAATAGCGTATCCCCATGGTAAGTGGGGCATGTACAGCTAAGAGCCTGAATCAAATTGATCAAAGGGATTCATTTCAGTGATATTTGTAGCAGGCTTTGGCTCACTTGCTCAAGAACTATTTCTTTGTCTAAAGGTTTTCACGTCAGATTCAGCGAGTCAACATGAGTATAGTATTCAGAAATGGAAGTATTTTTAAGTGGATATCTAGCATTGCCTCTTTTTAGGCAATGTTTATTTTTCCAAAGGATTTGCCAGGGTATGGCCCAAAGTACTTAAGGAGAAGGTCCTTTTTCACTTGGAATGTCTCTATATACTCAGCAATTTCACATAATTTGCCAGCAAGTTCTTGTCCCACTTCTAGGAAAACAGGCTGTCTAGTTTCATTTTCAGTTGCACTTAATTTTCCTGCAAAATAGTTGTGTATACATTAAGTTTGTTAATGGATTGAGTGCTTCATTAGCGGCAGCTTCCAAGCTAAAACATAAGCTCAAACAACAGTCCTCTTCAAGATTTTAACTAAGCAAATGAACTTTCCTTGCTTAGTTAGATATCTAATACTGCCAAAAATTTAACTTGTTTTCCTCTTGCACATACTTGGTTTGCATCTCTGTTTGTCTGAAAAGTGGTGAACGTAACCACATGTGGTTTTCTTTGTACAGAGGTTGTACGAACAAGACTAAGAGAAGAGGGAACAAAATACAGATCTTTCTTCCAGACACTATCTTTGCTTGTGCGAGAAGAAGGGTATGGATCCCTCTACCGAGGTTTAACTACACATCTGATCAGACAGATTCCAAACACGGCTATCATGATGTCAACCTATGAAGTGGTAGTCTACTTGCTCGATGGATAGCAGCTTCCTAGAAGAAGGTGGAAGATTGAAAGACTGGAGTGGACCACTGAATGTCAATGCCAATGTGGTGGGCAAAAAGAAAGTTATATCAGGAACATGCAGCTATGGACAAAACAGAAGGTTGATTGTGGGCAACTATGAATAATTTTGCTGCCTTATTGTATGGTCTCTTGGCAATGTGGCAAATGGGAACTGCCCCTTAAGGAATGCCTTTATACATCTCTTAATTCAAAATTGTTACTTTCTTTTCATTTTCAGAGACCTGATGGGTGAGGGAGGGAGCGTAAAATATATTCTTGGGCAGCCTTATTCACTTCTCTTAGTGATTGCTCTCAACTACATCCTTTTTGTTCTGTTTTACTGCACAGTAACCTGTTGAAAGAGTGGGGAAGACAGTACTTTCATACCTTTCCATACCTGAAGCTTCCATTCAGTTGCTCTGAAGATTCATAAAGAGACTGAGGTAGTAGTCAGCGTGTAAAGTTTTCCATGTTACTACCTCAAGACAAAATATGGCGCAGGGACTCAGAGTTATTTCTTCACTACAAAAGGTGATACTTGGGTTTTGTTTTTTAAGTTTGAGCAGTGTTGTAGGTTAGTGAGAGAGGATCTGATGGTTGAACTCTTCAGGTTATCAGTCTGTTAATGTTGGTGTATGTGGATTTCTAGTTCTGCATTGTCCTTTTTCTTTTCTGGAGCTTTCCTTCCTGAAGTAAGAGAGACCTATGAAACGTTCTATATCATCAGTTTTCCTTGCCAACTTGTCAGCTCACTCACAGTTAAGGAAGAACTAACTTGCTGAATGCTACTTCATAGCCTTTTTAAGGGTTCGTAATGTGATCTCAACTAGTTCAGCCTACCATTTGTGAAGACAGGATTCACTCAAATAGTTTCGTACTACCTAAGAACAAGCTGTATTACTCTAAAATGTCTGGCAAATCCTGACTTGGATTACCAGTATATATCTGGGAGTGCCGGGGGAGAACACATATTGTCATGGCTAAGGTGACCAGAAAGCAGAAAACAGTTGAAGTTGTGGTAGATCTTTTCAGTGCAGACAGCCTCTGTGCAGAATGATGGAGAAAGTTGTGATTGAGATTTTCTTGTAAGCATTCCCCTTGAGAATTGCTGAATCACTTCTTCCAACTTGAGCCTGTGTACTGAGCTGCAGCTGGCAGTATAACCTTGTCCGCCAAATTGTCTGAGTATTCAGGCATTGTTTTTGTTCTATAAGCCAATTGCAAAACAATGTGTTGCATTCAGCAGTGAGGCTTAGCTGGTTTATTCTGTCATAATTTACAGTATTTTCCAAAACCATACAGCTGGAGCATCAAAATCAGAAGCTTAATGTTACAAGAACTTATACAGCTTTCCAAACACTTATCTTTCATCTGCACCTTAAGCATTTCTCAGTCTGCATCCATGATCCTTACGAGGAAGATGATCATTATAAATTGGGGGCAATAGCTTTCTACATATAAATGCTGCTACACTGGTATGGACAGAACTGTCCTGTCAACTCTTCCAGTGTGGTACTTCAGTACTCTTAAACTCTGCATTGTGTGCAATGGCTTTATTTTATGAATGACTCCTTATGCACTTTGTGGCCTTCTTATGGCTTGTGACTTTTCTTCCTCTTACTGGTTATCTATAGTCAAACTGTTCAAAACATGCAGTTTGGTTTTAAACAAACCATGTGGTTTGATTTCCGTGTAAGCTGTGCAGGATAAAACATTTTATGCTGTAGATCCATAGCATCTCTGTTGCAGCGGTTCTGTAGGCTGTATGGAAAAGCTCAAAGCTTACAGAACAATCAGTCTGGGTTTTTCTCATTTGCTCTCCTTTATTTTGACCCTTGTCCTGTTCTCCACACAGTGTCAAAGTATTAGGCGTGCTTCATGTAATTCTCTGTACTAATTGCTCATCCTTCTAAAAGCCACCTATAGTATTTACAGTGACCTTGCAGTGGAGGCTCATCTGTATTGACTTCCTTCTCCTTGGAAAATGTTACCTTACCTTTTTAAAGACACATAGTGCGGTCTCTGATGTGACCAAAGGTGAACTTGATGGTTTCAAAGAAGCAAGGGGAGTGCTTAAACATGTGTTCTAAAGTGGGCTTTTTCTAGTGATGTCTCTAGGAAAAGTGTGCAGTATTCATGACTCTGACGTAAGTCTTGCTGTGGTGCCATTGTACAGACAACTCAATTAAGTGCAGGAATAGCTACTTACTGTGATCTTTGTTCTGTAGAAAGTGTATTACTCTTCAGGCTATCCAGATTATTCAGTCATAGCCAAAATTTAAATTGGCAAAGACAATATTCAGCTTTGGACTTCATGAGTACAATTAACATTTGGATTAGCCTAGGCTTTGTGAGAGTTACTCTCCTCTGTTTATTGGATACGTTCTCCCTTGGCTACATGTTCATCTGCCATTAATTCACTGGGTACCATGTGTGTGCCTTGTCTGGGTGAGAACAGACCCCCTGGAGTTCCTAAGTAGAAAATGTTAACAAGGACAATTGCATAAGGGAGACAACAGCTAAAAATAGACAATTGGGTTATTATTCCACCTTTTTAATGGGTGTTTAAGCAATGTTTTAAACTTCAGGGGTGATCTTTTTTTTTGGCTTGCTTTACATAACAAAACATAAACCCAAAGTTTCTTGGGATTTTTTTGTTATTTTTAAACTACCAGTACATACAAAGTTACCTCTGAAATATTTCCCAAAGATCTTTAAGTTATTTATATAGTTTTCTTCATATTTATTATAAAACCTCAAAGGGAATAAGAAGATGCTTCATTCAGTAATATCCTTAACTACAGAAGTGAAAGGAGTGCACTTAAATTTTCTTGTAACTTAGATGGTCACCTTGATCTATATTTCAATGTAGTGTATGTCACACTTTTATGTGCTAGAGGCAACGGCCTTGGATGTCTGAAAAACTCTCAGTAATTAATTAGTTTCCTCATATTTCCCTTGCCTAGATGAAACTTAAATGTTTTTGCAAGCTGGTAATTTTGACTCAGCAACCAGTCAGATCTGGGAAACGCTGGGAGACTGCAGTTTCCTGAACCAGTCAGAAGATGGCACTGGAGCATGCGTTCCTCAGAGGGAAAAGGGGCTCCTCTGCCAGGGCCTGGCTAGCTCCATGTGTTACAGTGCACTGATTGCCACTGAGTGTCTGTGGCATATTGGGAGGATGTAGCAAGGCTGGCCTGAGTTTGGAAAGCCATAAAGAGATAGATTTCGGTGAATGCAGTCACATTTCACAGCCCCTCTATTACCCATTCGGTCCCTGTAGCGCCATGTGAAAACAGGTGAGTTTTGTGTTGCAGAGGGCTGAGCCCAGCCTTCAGACTGACTGAGATCTGCTGTTTCTGTCTGCATTTCTGATCTGCTAGCCTATGTTGTTTTAAGTAGGTTTACACTAGGGATTTATGGAGTTTTTTGGTTGTTTTAATTGTAACTGAAACATCAACCTGTCCACTTGTATATTGATATTGCATCTGTCTAGTTCCCTGTTTACATAATGCACTCCATATATTTCCTTTCCGATTGAGATGTTTGTTAATGACAGTTTCTGCTATTCTGGTTTTTTCTTATAATGACATTTGTAACATTCCTCAGACTGTAGCATTTTAAAAGAATGCTTCCAGAGACAAAAGATTGGAGAGCCTTTATAAATGTTGCTTCCTGTTTAAACTGTTTAAATTCAGAAAACAAGCTGTACACTGAAGTGTGCCTAGGTAAATGTACTACTTTTTTCAACTTTCTGTCTGTTAAGACTCAGTTATGTAAGTTTTCAGTTCTATTTAAGAAAGTCTGCCTACCCTGCATATGTGAACATAATTATGCCCTCAGTCATAGCTAAACGCTCACAAATGACAGTTTGAGAATACTTCAGTGCTCATGTGAGGTTTGCTATTATTCTTGCATACATGTAGTTGGCTGTAAACTATGTGCTTTTACTCTGTATTTATATAGTTAACTTTTTTGTTTGGATTGCTTTAAACTTCAAAGCAAATTAAAATGATGTGCTTCTATTCAAATGTTGCCTTCTGTGCTAAACTGTACACTATTTTTAACCTTTTAATTTTTTTATTCTTGATCTATGAGTGCCTGGACAGGTGTGATTAAAAATGAGCAATTCATTAGGACATCCCAGCGAATCATTTTATCTTGTGCCATTTTATAGTAGCTGAAAATAATGTATCTGTATTGTACCTATAACATATTCTTTTTGGAGGGGTTCATGGATGACTTAAACTAGTTGGATGTGTTCTTGCGTTTGGATTTGAATACTGTTACCTCTGCAGAACTAAGTGTTACTGTCTGTCAAGTGAGATTCAGTAACTAGTGATCAGAAAAGTTGTGTCCATGTAAAGTGCCAGCTAGCAAAAACTGCTGCAGACAAAAATGAAGGGCAGTAATTCCTTAAAATGTTCAGAATTAATTGCACGTGGATAACCAAGTCCTTGAATCTGAAACATTATTAGATATCGTTTCTCTTAACAGTAGATGTTTGATCTGAAGTCTGTCCTCAGAACTTCTCAGAAATCATTCTGCAAATGTATGTGTAGGTTTTATTTGGTGATGATTGTGTGCTGCGTTTTTTCCCCCTCAGTATGTGTTCTGGAACTGAATCCTTGGCAGCCTTTAATATGGAGCCAGGCTTGATGTCTCTGATTTGGTTCTTTCAGCTATTCAGAACTGTTCAAAACTTGCATTAAAACAGCACATCTGTGATAACTTTTTTCCTTTTCTTTCAGTGGGTGTTAATGTGAGTCGACCTACCTTGCTCTGCTTCTAAGACCTTCTAGCTTCTGGGTCAGCCAGGCTTAGAGGTGATCAGTCTTCTGTACAGGCAACCAGTGAGCTTATCCCTGACACATCTGCAATTATGCCTCTAAGTGGCATAATTGTAATTGTCTGTAATTGATCTTTCCCTTTAAGTCTCCGAAAGAGGCAGATTGGCAGGGCAGAGCACAGGTTAAGTGTTTGGGGATGTTTTGACATTGGTGCTGCTTTACAACCCCTTCTGCTGGAGGTATTATATTAAGCTTGTCCTGGACAAAAAGCATATATGTAAAATGAGGATATATTTAAAGTCCTAATTGAGTTATGGCTTGGCATTAATGCAGTAGTGCAGTCTGAGTTAGATGCAGCCTAAAAGCATGTGAGGTTTAGCAACAATCTCTTTCACAAAAGAAAGCCCTTGAATTTGATAAGGCACTTAACACTAAAATAAAAAG